TCTATCTCCTGTTATGTGCCAAAGCTGATGTAGAGAAACCAAGCAAATTACTACATGCATCATCGGACATCGGTCATCACAAAATTGTGCATATAATGTCATATATAGAAATAGAATTGTGCACCAGGCATCATAGAATTAAAAGTAATTGACATAAACTATGATTTATTTTTCCAAAACATATGATGGTTGTCACAAAAACATTCCTTTCTGTTTCCAGTATGTTTTTCACAATATTTTTTTTATAGTAAATTCACTTAAGCCAATTAAAATTATGTGAAATTACAAGCCATCCTGTAAGCTTACAGATACAGAAAAAATGCTATATGGCTGCTGATATGAAGCTTGCAGTCCACTGTGCAGAGAGTGGATGAATATTGCAAGATCTTTGGTGACGCTTCAGTAGCAAAATTTACGCCTTCTGAAGATCTTGGTGACACATTTAGATTGAAATTCTTGCATTTAAAATATTTGTCAGTCTTCAGCCAACTATTTAGAAAAAAGTAAGGTTTCCGGTACGTTGGATGGATCAGGATGCAGTGAAGCTTGTCTGTAAATCAGGTGCAATGAGTTCCCACCAAAATATCCTACGCACATGTAAACAACAAGTTTACGATTGCGTAGTTGCAGTCACATTAGAGCGGTCAGACTGCATTATTGCATGTTCAGTTGACACTTGCTGTACAATCAGACTTTTTAGGGCAAAATTAGTTATTTGGGGTAACACGTGCATGCAAGCTTGTAAATAAGTTTGTGGCTTGTAAATAGTTTTTCATTACACAGCGTAAATGGTTTTCATTAAAAATTACCTGGCGACGCATCTTGAAAATGGTTGGCGATGTTTTGGGCTTAAAAACCCATATATTGGCGACGCTGCTTCCACCCTCTGCACCCTGGCTTGCAGTGGACAAGGTTGTTGTAAATGCTCAATGGCATGTTCATGGATACAGTAATATCGGATCAATAATACGGTACCATCAACCGCCAACCGGGGCTACTCGGGACGGGTGGCTGGGTGGGGTAACTTGGGACAGTCCTCCCTCCAACATGGCGTAAAACTGTTTTAGTAGCAAAACTAATTGGAATATTGCCAAACTAAATATAGTGGCATAAAGGTCAACATTTTTCCTATCTATGTATTATAAAGGAAGTTCAAAAATACTACATTTACTAGCTTTGAAAAATTCCTGAAAAAAATGGTGAAAAACAATATTTTGAAAAGTTACTTCTGCTAAGGTCTGTAGTTAAAAAAATATTTGCCGTATTAAAAAATTCAGCTTAGAAAAAAGTGGCAGACAAGCATCAGCATGAAAACTTTATTTGTGGAATTTACATACCTCAATCCAAAAAAATGGCGGCCATTTCCTCACGGCGGGGCTACTTGGGACACCCCCGGGGCTATTTGGGACACCCCCAAAAACGAATTTACAGTAGAACCTCAGTTAGTATAGGCTCCAGTTAAGAAAAAAATTTACTAAAAACAAAGAATATTGATTACCATAAAATGGGGTTACTTTGACCGGCAGGGTAACTTTGACCACTTTTCGTTTTTTTAACAAAAACCCCCAAAACTCAAAAACGATTTGACATAGACAAATTTTATCAATGGCCATCAAAGGCCTAATACTGAGGCTACGTAACACAATAGAAAGATTTAAAAAGTTTGCATATATAATAGGTTAAAAAATTAATAATGTGACCCACGAAAAAGAGCTATTATTTAAAGCCTGTCGGAGTACCCCCTCCAATTTTTTTATTTTTTGGTAAAATAACTCCAGGTTTTGATGCATTGTAGTAGAACTCTTCTAGTTACATATGCAAATGACAAATTTTAGGAAAGTGTCATAGTTTGCAAATGGGGGGCGCCGCCCCCAAATGGGGTAACTTAGACCACCTAATGTCAGCCCTGACGGGGTAACATAGACCGGCTTGGAAGTTAATATAAAATTACCATATATAACATATTTTATGTTTGACAGCCTATTTATGTTTTTTCTTTATGTTTCAGACTCTACAGAGTCTTATATATGGTAATTTTAACTTAATTTCCAAGCCAGTCAATATTACCCCATCAGGGCTGCCATTAGGTAGTCACATTTCCCTCATTATGGGGTGGCGCCCCCCATTTGCAAACTATGACACTTTCCTCAAGTTTGTCATTTGCATATGTAACTAGAAGAGTTCTATTACAATGCACCACAACCTGGAGTTATTTGGAGTTATTTTACCAAAAAATACAATTGATTTTACCACCTGGTCTAAGTTACCCCAAGAGCTGGGGTAACAAAGACCATCACTTTTTTTTTAAATTACATCAAAACTATGAGAGGCAGGAGCCAGCAATTTATGGTAAGTGAAGCTAGAGTATAGACCTGTATTTTGCATGTTTCAATTCAAGTTTAATTTAGCTAGTAAAAAAATGGCATCATTTATAAAAAAAGTGGTCTAAGTTATCCCATTTTACGGTATGTTATGCTAATCTTGAGGAAAATAAACTTTCTTCTTTATGTACCTCCATTACTCTTATATTTTGCCTCAAAACTGTTCAATCAGTTCTGCCCCACCCTGTTAATGAGCTAGCTAACACATTTAAATTGTATAGTGTAACAAATAGTCAAATAGTTAAAGACTACTTATAGCCTTATGAGAATTAGCTAAGCTGCTACCTATGTACAATGTATTGCAACACTTGATGCCTCTGTACCAAAAACATTCAATTTATTTGAACCTAATGCACACTAAAGGCAACAAGTTTATATACCAATTTGTCATTCATACTACATTTATACTAAACCATGAATAACAATACCTCAATATAAATTAAAGACTGCCACTCAATATATTTCAATGTATGAAAAAATCAAAAAAATAAAAAATATCTAAAAAATAAAAAAAATCATGATTTTTTATAAAAAATCAAGTGATTTAATCACATGATTTAAACATTTTTATTTAATCACTGCCAACCCTGACCTAAACTATCATTTATTTCTCCAAAACACATGATGGTTGTCACTGAAACATTCCTTTCTGTTTCAGGTATGTTTTTCATGATTTTTTTATAGTAAATTCACTGAACCCAATTAAAATGGTGTGAAATTATGAGCTGTCCTGCAAGCTTACAGATACAGAAGAAATGCTACATGGCTGCTGATATGAAGCTTGCAGTGGACAAGGAAGTTGAAATGCTCAATGGCCTGTTCATGGATACGGTAATATCACATCAATAATATGGTAATTAATGAATACTATGGTAGTATATCAATAAAGGAAAAACAAGTAAAAATTGCAGAAAATGTCATTTATTCTACATCTACATCATCAACAATGAAAAAGGACTTCAGAGTACTGTTAGTAATGGATGAATACAATGCATGCTTCAAACATTTTAAAAATTAAGCTTTATTGCAAGTATCCTGGGGTAATTTGGTATGCTTTTATTTTGCGTCTGGCACCTCACATATAGCATATGGATTTTTTTGGAGATGCCATTTGATAGCCCTTGCAAAGGGCTATCAAAAGAAATCACTCTTTTGTGCAATGTTTCATGGTAAGAAGTTATTAACAAAAAACTATCAAAACTGTCCCAAATTACCCCGTTTGACAGTATGTTTGTGTGTGATGGTGTTGCTGCAGATTTAACTCTAAACAACTTTTGGAGCACAGTGCATTTTTTTACCGGCATATTACGGTGCACTGCACAGATTGATAAAATGACAATATAAATTCTCGCTCCCCTGGCACATCTTCCTGACCCATACCATCCAACATCTCCTTCCCTATTACCATCTCTCACCCCTCTTGCAGGAGCCACTTTTTCAGAACATAATTTGCCCTTCCCCATGCCATTGAGATATCCTTTCCTCTCTCCCCTCCCTCCTTGGTACAACATCCTAACAGTCTTAGCATCGACTCCTGTGTCAGGCCTCTCACCTAACTCTGCTTCACAGATATTCAAAAATTGTCTACAGACATGTTTTCAAAATTTCACTGCAGCCTTCACTGATGGATCTTGAATAACTGAATGAGTGCGTTCCTGGCATGCTTCAGGAGCCGATTGTGCAGCTCTGATATCAGCTGGCAAGGTTGGAGTGTTGGCAGGTTCCGTGTACTGAAGTCTGCAGGTGTGTACTCTCACGTAAGATCCACCATGCTTCACCAATGCTTGTTTACCATCTTTTCCGATGACAACGCCAGGCCCGTGCCATCTATCACTGTCTCGACGCTTGAAATACACACTATCTCCGTTAACCAGATCATCCACATCCAATGTTCGTACTTGATGCAGCAATGCCCTCCTTAACTTTTCGCTGGACTCGTTCTTCAAGAAGTCCACCCGAGCGGCATGCATGGCATATAGATTATCGGCAACTATTTTGTTTGGTGTCCGGTTTTCAAGAGAGGGGAGCCTTCCGTCATACACGCTGGAAAAAGAAGGGTTCGTTCCAAAAACCAGCTGGTGAAACTATTGGAGCTAGTTCTGTCCATCTTCGCTCTCCATGACAGTTCTGCAGTGTATTCCGGGCAGAGATAGCCCAGGACAAAGCTACACTTAGTTCACATTGAGTGTCATCGAGAATCTTCTGCACGCTAAGGCCCAATATATAATTTAGCCGCTCGCAAACTCCATTACTCCATGGAGCCTCGGCAGCAGTGCATACCAACTTTATGGCGAAACTATCGGCAACTCCACGCATCTCATCATTGTTGAATTCTCCTCCATTGTTGGATAGAAATTGCTTTGGGGCACCAAATAAGGAAATCCAGTCAGTAAAAAGGCATTTGATGATTTTTTCAGCCTTCTTGTCATGGATCAAAATAGCTCCATACAGGTCTTGGACGCTGTTTCTTGTATTTAATACAAGTTTCACAGTTCTGAGTCACATTGTCGACGCACTTCAAGAGTGCAGGGTCTCCCTGTTCTGCGTCAATCAGCAACCTTTTCAATTTTTCAGCTGATGGGTGTGCAAATTGCCTATGTAGCTTCAAAGCAGCCTTACTTTTATCATGCGAGTCAACGTCGTTCAATAAAATGCACTCAATGCGTGTCTGTAAAGGAGGAGAGCAGATGGGTAGAGTGTAGTGACCCATAGTGGTAGAACCAAGTTTCACATGTTTATCAAAAACATTCGCGGTGTCGTCATTCAAATTAATCACCATTCCAGCTCTCTTCATGGATGACCTACTCAGCAGCAGAGGAATGTTTGAATCGACAACATCAGTCTTCACTTTCACAGCCTTGCCGGCCAACACACATGGGAGTGTGACGTATCATGTGGCCTTCTTGTGTTGACCGTCCCCAAAGCGATAAACTGAAGTACTAGTCTTGGTTCTGATTGATTTTTGTTCAGGATCTGTAAGAGTTTCCATATAGCACCGTAACCACTGTTCACCACACACAGTCTTTGAGCAACCCGAGTCCAAAAGAACTTTTCCAATAGTTTCACCTAAGAGACTGTCCATTTTTACATCCGATGCATCACCAGCGGCCATTAGAGTAATCTCTACTTCTTCATCTTGTTCGTCATAGTAGGGCTGGTCGCAATCATCACCGTAGAGCACTGAAGAAGTTTGATGCTCAAAAGCATGAGGACAGTCTTTGGCCCAATGCATTCGAGAGGAACAAATGGCACAAACTGAAACTGATCCGTCAGGATTAAGCAGATTATTTCTACTGCTGGTAGAACTGTTACTTCGTGTAGGAACTAACGAGTCTTGACAGTAACTAGCAGCACCTCGGTATGTAGGCCGCATACCATACCTCCTTGACCGACCACGTGTGCGACTACTGCCGCCATACAGAGCTTCATTTTCAAGAACAGGCTCGACTTTCATGATTTCAGAAGAACCTGCAGCTTCACCTGTCAATGAATGACCACTTTCGGCGAAGAGTTTCTTCAATATTGCTCGCATGTCTTCAAAGGTCATCCTTGGTGTAGTAGACAGTGCAAGCTGGAAATGTACATCACTCAGACCACAACTCTTAAGCAGCCTACATGCAATTACTGCATCAGGTAGTACAACCTTACATTCTTTAAGTTTGTGATGTCATAGATCAAACTCACTTAGGTATTTGTCTATGGAACACTCTTTAGAACAGCAGTAGTTTTCAAAGGCCAAGTAAGTGTTGAAGCATTTCCAATTTTCGTCTTGCTCAAATACACGGTCTAATTTATCCAACAACTTTTTCATACCATCTTCTCCTTTAATTTCATTCACTGAAAGCTCCGATGAAGCATTCCGGGTTCTGCCGGTCAATGACAAATGAACAGCAATGGCGTGTTTACTCTTGTCTAAATCCGTCAAAATAGTCCACAGCTTTTCCACAGCTTTTTTTTTTTTTTTCTCCAGCATCCTTTTTCCACTGATCATAATCACCATCTTCTTTAAACACAGGAGGAACTTTAGTAGTAACAAATCTCACTGAAGCCATTTTGCACGCTCTGCTACCAATTGTTAATAGCACACGCTCGCAAGATGCTCACCCTATCATGGTTCACGCTAGACTGCTGTCCCCAACTGCATTGCCGCCAACTTGCGTCACGTTACAGCCAGCCCACGCCAGGTAGGCTACCGGCGTTCCCCAAACCAATCAGAGCGCAGCACAAAGCCATCTCACGACCAAACTAGCGTGACGTCACAAACATTCGGCAACACCAGCGCAGACCAATCAGATATCAACAACTGAACCCTTGCCTTCCTCATCAGCAGCCATGGTGGTTGCTTCTAGAGGTGTACTCCTCAATTGGAAACTCCGCCCTGAAGTCTCAGTTCTTGAGGCAGAGCTCTTTGCCAGCCATGAGGTATTGTTGTGGGCACAATGCAACCTCGGACATCAAGAAAAAATTGTCATTTTATGGACTCCCTCGGTTCACTCTTTCTAATTAAAGACAGGAAACCCCAAACATGCATATAATTTGCCTTTTTTTCCAGATCCAGAGTAGGCTGATGGTGCTGGTAACTTCACATGATGTCAAGCTCCAGTTTTTGCCAGGTCACTGGGGCATTTCTGGGAACAAAAGAGCTGACCATGCAGCATTGCAGGCTCATACCCTTTGGTATTGTACAATTACTTCAGGTCAAAGGAAGAAATGGTTAGAAATATCCATTTTGTTTTTCTAGAGTACGGTGTTCCCGTGTATGCCGCGGGGGGATTAACTTGTAACCCACTTAAGTGAAGCTGAATTGGTCTAATAATGGTGTAAGTAAAGAGTTGTCAGAAGAGTTATGTTTTATTCTGGGATTTTAAAATACAACTGACATGCCGATGAATGTAGAGACAATATTGCTTATAGTGCTTTAAGTCTATGGGACTTGGTGCTTAGTAACTAGTGATATGGAATAGGGAGCACAGGACGGGCAATGGCGCATAAGGTCCTCAGACAACTGAAAGATATAGAAAATACAAATGAAAGATACTGTGCATAAAGTGACTATATGATGCTAAGCAGGCTATAATCTATCATGCCTGAATTTAGATATTAATTTGAAGTAACCATGCTATAACTGAATAATGAACAACATTTAGTAAATTAAGGATTGATAATTAAATTTAGTAACTTAGATTGCAAGAGTTATTGGTGCAAAAATCATAATTAATAAACAAAAAGCAAACAACATTGGAAATAGATTTGACGCAAGAATGCAAGTGAAGTTATATAGGTAAAACAAGGACCGCATCACCATTATGTCTATGAACACTTGAAACAGAGTTAACTAGACTATGGTAAGGTTGTGCTCAATTAATGCAGATAAATAATGCAACGGTTAAAAAAATGTGAAAAATGCAGTATTACAGAAGACGTACATATATATACATTATCAGGAAGTGCTTCACTCACCCAACAGTATTGCAGAATTAACTTGATGCATTTAACTGTCTTGGCTGCATTTTAATTACTGAATTACACTTGGCTTGAATGGAATTTAATCATTACCTCTGTTCTGAAATGATATGAAACAAAAGGATGCATTGAGTAAGAAAATTGGTTAATGACACAGATGGGTTGAGTGGAGAAAAAGCAATAATGCCTTCCGGCAACAATGGTACTGGCAAAGAGAGTGGGTTAATGGTACCAAAGTTTCAGGAAAGGGCATTTTCCTTTGTTGAATTAAAGATAGAGTAGGCAATTGGCCTTGGGCACTGAACCAAAACAGGCTTGCAGAGACAGCACTGGTTAGGCTTAGGATGGGTCATGCCGGAGTGAAAACACACTTGTCTAGGTTTAGAATGATCAATAACCCCATATGTAACTGTTCCCAGCATGAAGAAACAATAGATCACTTGCTACTTCACCGCCATCTGCATGCTCAGACCCAAACTAACCTTTCTAACACACTAACCTTGCTTAGCATAGATCAATCTAAAAAATATTTACTTGGAGTAGGCCCTTTCCCACCTGAGACACAGGTGAAAATAATTAAAGCTACCATTGAGTACCTGAAAGAAATTAATGCTCTGAAGCAAGTATAGTTTTAATTAATAGAATCTATATGTACAACCTATCTTAATATTGCTCATTTGTTTTTTGAACTTCTGCCTGTCACATCTAACAATACCATCAAACGGGGTAATAAGCGACGGTCGGGGTAAAAAGGGACAGTCATCCCACATTTCATAGGAATGTTGTAGCAGCTAAATTAATCAAAATATTGCAAAACTAAAAAAATAGTGGCACAATGTTCAACACTTTTACTATCTATATAGCATTAAGTAAGTTAAGAAATCATACATTTACTACCTCTAAAAAATCCATGGAAAAAAGTGTGATGAGTGGAATTTTGGAAAAGTACCTCTGCTAAGGTCTGTAGAAAAAAAATATTCACCATTGTAACAAATTATACCTACATAAAAGTTGCACACATGTGTTGGCTGAAAAACCTGATTGACGGAATTTGCAAATCTCATCCCCCCAAAAAAGATGGCCATTTCCACCAGATTAGGAAATAAGGGACACCCCCTCCAGGCTAAAATGGACACCCCTAAAAATGCTTTTGCAGTAGAACCTTGGTTTAGCAAAGGCTTCAGTTGATGAAAAAATTGATTAAAAACGAAAATTATGATTATATTTATCTTGCTCAGCTAAAAAACTTCACTTAACAAAAAATTAATGCATCATCTTCCATCACAAAATTGTGCAGAGAATGACAGATAGAATTGTGCACCAGGCAACACAAAATGAAAAGTAATTAACCTAAACTATGATTTATTTCTCCAAAAAATATGATGATTGTCACTAGAACATTCCTTTCTGTTTCATAAAATAACATAGTGATGTTGGCACTAAAGAGTAGGCCTGGTGTGTCCTGTCAGTGATTCCTGACCTTTTTTGAAATAGCTTACACCGGGTTTGATATGATGCTGGGCATTTCAAGTGTGAACATATATTTTTCCATGGCTTCATCTTAGGATGTTTCTACTATCTTTTTTGTTATAGTGAATTCACTTGACCCACTTAAAATGAAGTGAAATTACAAGCCATCCTGTAAGCTTACAGATACAATAAAGTGCTATATGGCTGCTGATATGAAGCTTGCAGTAGACAAGGTTGTTTTAAATGCTCAATGCCATGTTCATGGATATGGTAATATCACACCAATAATATGGTAATGTATGGATATGGTAATATCATATCAATAAAGGAAAAAAAAGCAAAAATCACAGAAATTGTCATTTATTCTACATCTAAATCACCTACAAAAGAAGAGGAGGACTTCAGATTACTGTTAGACTTGCAATACATTGAACATAGCTAGCAGCTTAGCTAATTCTGATGAGGCTATAAGTAGTCTCTAACTCCAACTAACTATTTGACTATTTGTTACCGTCAAACAGGGTAAAAAGGGATGGTTTTGAGCGTTTTTTGTTGATAAATTCTTACCATGAAACATTTCACAAACTAATTTAGGCACATTTTATAGCTCTTTGCAAGGGCTATCGAATGGGATCTTCAAAAAAATTCCATATGCTATTTGTATGGTGCTAGATGTAATATAAAATGCTCCTGAATTTATCTGGAATAGGGGGTAAAAAGGGACACTTGAAATAAAACACCATTTTAAATGTTTGAAGCGTGCAGAGTGTTCTCACCTATTACCAGCAGTATTTCAAAGTCCTCTTTTTCCTTTTAGATGTACGGTAACATAACAATGAGGAGCTCAACAAGCTTCTTTAGGGAGTGACGATTGCATTGAGTGACCTGGATGTTAGGAGTTCTGCCTAACATCCAGGCTATTCTGTTCCCCAAGAAGATTTTATTTAAATTTTGATTTAGATTTTCACTTAAATTTAAAATTTAAGCAAAAATCTTTGTGATTAATCCATATTTATCTTAACTATGGCCTTTGCTAACAGAGGATCTGCTGTAAATGTGTTTCAGGGATTATCCTTTATTACCCCGGGGGTTATCCCTAATTACCCTGGGGGGGTGTCCCTTTTTATCCCATCGCGCAGAAATGGCTGCCATTTTTTTTTTAATGAGATAGGCAAATTTCATCAATTATGTTTTCAAGCCGGTACCTGTGTGCAACTTTTATGAAAGTAAAAGTTTTTAATACAGTGAATATTTTTTTGCTCCTGACCTTAGTAGAAGTACTTTTCCAAAATATCAACTTTCACACTTTTTCATCAATTTTTTAGAGATAGTAAATGTTTGATTTCTTGACGAGCTTTATACATAATAGATAGTAAAAATGTTGAAGTTTGCGTCAATATTTTTAGTTTTGAAATATTTTCATTAGTTTAGCTGCTACAACATTTCTACAAAATGTGGGATGCGCAACACGATTTACCTCACCTGTCCCTTTTTACTCCGTTTGATGGTATATATTAATTACATTATACAATTTACATGTGTTAGCTACCTTATATAAGAAGGGTTGGTTGAGATTGTATTGATCTTTTAGGCGTTTGGAAAGATTTTCCACCTTAATATGAGTATTCTAATTATAATATTTAATTCCAATCTTTAAATATGTGAATTTATAACTAGAGACAAAGTACTCATATTTATAAAACTATATATAAAATAATTGAATGCAGTTAATAGAAATAAAATGTTTGAAGTGTGTACATCTTTATTTCAAACAGTGTTAGCTTTTCTCATAACATAGGTAGGTAAGTCTCATTTCAAGTCGTTTTAGGTTTGTTTGGTTGTTCAATTTATTTTTAGTATTGATTTATTGGTCTGAATCAAATGGGAACAGTGCAGTCAATCACTCAGTCACTACTAGTCGGTGTGTATAGTGGGTAGAGTCTAGTAGATTTATAGGACATAAAACTAGTAGATCTAGGTACTTGATAGTGTTGTGCACTGTGCTATCAGCTATCTTCAATGTTTTGAAGGTACGCATTCCTGAAGTGTTGTTGTATATCTAAGCCAGTTAAATGGTCAATATTTAGCTCATTCATTACCAATGTCCATACAAACTTTACAAAGTTAATGAATAGACTTATCAATAATTGTTTACCCAAAAGTCCCAAAGTGGTAAACACCACCTTGGTCATTCTTGAAGGCAATAACTGCCTGTTTTAGCCATCCACATGCTGTTAATGTTAGTAGGCTAATTGCAACATAAAAAAAAAGACATTTCAAAAAGAAAAAAAGCTGGAAAAATATAAAAAATAATGAAAATATAAAAAAATTCAATTCTTTTTTATTTTTTTTATTTAAAAAATAATAAAAAAAATCACCAACCCTGCTGTTGGTAATAGACGAGTACACTCTGCATGCTTCAAAAGTTTTAAAATTGAATTTTATTTCAAGTGCCTTGGATTATTCTGTTCCCAGTGGTAATTTGGGATGCTTTTATTTTGCGTCTGGCATCTGGCTTAAAATAGCATATGGAATTTTTTGAAGATGCCATGCAAGAGTCCTCACAATGAGCCCAAACTTATTTATGAAATGCTTCATGGTAAGAAGATATTATTGAAAAACACTCAAGACTGTCCCTTATTACCCCCCTTTGATGGTACTTATATAATTTGCTGGCCTGAGTGGCCTAGAAACAATAAATTTTATAAAAGAAAGCAAATAAAAACTGTCTAGAAATATAAAACTACTTCTCAGTTTTTACAAGATTATTAATCTCTCTCTCAAATTTGTATTTCTTGCTCCTGACCTGTATTTTAAGTTACTTATTGATAAGTGTAAATAATTGTAATATAGGTATATGTATCTTTCTAAGTGGCAATTCTTTTTCATTGATGTAGCACTATTTATAACAGCAATTATTTAATAAGTTCTTATAACTAAGTTATCAAAGGTTTTCCGGAGGACAATGCCATAAAATGGGGTGACTTTGACCATTGAACTTGGACCGCTTTGAGATTTAAGAAAAAAACCAAACTGAAAAAGTTCTTGCCTATGAAAAATTATAATGATGCCTCTTGAAGTACCATGAGATAACGTACAAATGCAATAAAGAAATATATTTTACATACTTTCCATGTGAATATTTGTATCACAAGAAGTACCAGCGCTAAAATTGGTCCAAGTCAATCCATTTTATGGTAAATAATTAGTAATTCAGCTACGTATGCAACAATTTATGTTTACAGGTCTTGTAAGCTACAACTAGAGCTTTCTGTCTTTTTTGAGCAATGAGATTCCTGCTAGATTGGGAGTCGAATAGGTATATCTATTTTCTGAGCCATTAATAGGTTTCTTGCTATATTTGAAGCTGTGACATTAAGCATTGATTCTAATTAATAATGTTGAAAAAAACATTGTTTTGAAGCTGTGAGAATTTATTAATGAGTAGAATTCTCATTAAATGCAGGTCCAACAGAGATTTACAGAGTTGCATCAATTTTATGCCCACAGCCTTGCAGAAATTACCACTAGGCAGTGATAATCAGCTTAAACCATGCAAAAAATGAACATGTTCATGATTCAAAGAGCATTTTCTTCTTTTTCCATATCTCGTGTTTCCAGACTTCATCAACCAGTTTCTCATGGAGTTTCATGGAGTTTTTCTCATATAAACCCAACGGAGGATTCCATCTCTCAGGCATGTTCACTTCAAATGGCTACAGTTCCACAATATTCATGCCAACCATATTTTATATGCTTAGTTTACCACAGTTTACCTCAACTATGCTTTCATGGAAAGCTCTACTAGAATATGTCCTGGAAGTCAGCAGAGATAATGGTCAAAATTGTAAATTAATATCAACATTTCCATTTTTTTTTTTTTGTTTAATTGTACTTTTGAATAACATAGATTTTTGATAGACTTGAGCCAATTTAACCCTGAGTGAATGATACCCTGGTTGTGAATATTAACAATTTTGCAGCTCCTGGTGCATGAAGGTTTCATTCAGCAATGCAGCAGCGGTTTATATGCCATGCTTCCACTCGCACAGAGGGCTTTGGATAAGCTCTGCAGGATAGTTGAACAAGAGATGGAAGCTATCAATGCTAATAAACTCCTTCTTCCTACTCTTACATCTCTCGAACTATGGCAGAAATCAGGTGGGCTATTTAAAGATTATTTTTTGAAATATATACCGTACTATCTATACATATTTATATATATTTGTATAAAAAATACTTAAACTTCTTCTACTGTAAAATTTAATAAATCTCTGATTTATAATTACTATTTCAATCTTTTTGTTTACATCTCTGGTTATCCAATAAATTGTTTTCATTAGTTTCTAAAATATATAATTATAAAATATTTTTCATTCATTTCAAATATTTTTAATTATTATAATAAATATACCATATTCCACTTGTATATTTATGTATACCTACTGCAGACATATACCTACTATAATACCATATTTATCATACTACTTTAAATATGGTAATTTTTTATACTTTGAATGTAATACCTAGTATGTATTTACTTGCAAATTATGTACAGTACCTAGATTATTTTTTATTTTCATTATCAATTCTTCAAAGAAAGTTATTTGCAGTTTTAAATGATTGAAGTTCATGCGGTAAAATAGCTGCCAAATTCACATTTTTTATATAAATGTGCTCTTAAAATATTTGTGGTGTACTTTTGTTGATGTTAAATTTGATGTGATTTCAAAACTGGATGCAACCAGGTCGATGGCGCCCCACTAACCCAGAGCTCATGACTATGTCTGACCACCATCAGAAGCAGTATCTGCTTAGTCCTGTGAGTGAGTAGTTAATGTCCCGCAAATTAATCTAAATTATACTACCATCCTGCTATAGGTTCTCATCCGAATAACAGCTGCTATGACAGCTGCTATGACAGCAAATTCTTTCTTAAGGGTTTATGGGTTTAGTATGGAAGAGTTGTGAATTATTTTTACTAGGAATTGTTTTTAATTTATAGATTAATGTCATATTATAAATTATGTAATCAATTTTTTGTTTTATTAAAACTGGTAAATCTTTAGCTTTTAATTTTTGTAACTTTTTGGAGATTGATGTGGCTACCTCCTAGGTTAAATACAGACATGTCTGCTATCTGAAATTATAGTACAATGTTTCATTCATGGCCATTGGTGATCTTCAATGTTTTTTTATCTTTGATAGTTTTTATTTTACATCTCTGTAGCTGTTAAAATCTTTTATAGCATCAGATAGAATAGCTTTTATAAACAGTTAAAATCATCTATTAGTCAAACTTCTATAAATTGTAATGAATTTTAATTTTGGCAGACTCACGAGGAGGCCATTTGTGAGCTGCTGAGCCATAAGGAAGATACGAGTCTCTCAAAGCTGCCACTGCTGCTCTACCAAATATCCTCCAAGTTCAGGGATGAGGGTAGACCGTGTCATGGGCTTCTAAGGTAGCTTTTGTATTATGAAGCCTACCTTGCGTGCCTGCTCTTGTTTGAGAAATTTAAATATGTGTCTCACTGAGCCAAATGTGTAAACGATATTTTTTATGATTAAATGATGCCTGAAAATGAACTACAACAAATTGATTGAACCTTGAACATCAACTGCATCACAATGAATGCTTCAGATATTGTACATATAATTGAAATCTTGAGAATTTTTAATGGTAGAATTTGCCCTTGTCATTATATTTTGTGATAATAAGTTTTAAAATTTGATAAACCTTTAGTATATGCTATTTATTTCTTTTAAAATTGAAAAAATGGTCGGTTTTCAGAGATAATTCAGCAAAAAAATTAAATATAAATGAGAGACATGAGGCAGGTGATGATTTTTAGAAATAAATTCATTGTTAAACTGTAGTCCAAGAGGAATTGCTTCATTCAGTTGGATTTTGATGGCCAAATTATAGAAAATATTCTACTGTTGTGTGTAGTAAAATTTTCTTTTCAGAGCACGTGAGTTCATGATGAAGGACTTGTATAGCTTTGACTGTGATGAGCCAAGTGCAGCAAAGACGTATGATGTCGTCACAACGTCATACCTGCGCGTTCTTTCCAGACTTGGAGTGCCTTACATCAGAGGTTAGCCAACACACTATGATTTCTCATGTAATAGTAATACATTACATACGATATTCTTTTTATAATGTTATGATATCTTAGGAGATATAAGTATGAACTAACCAGGACTACCACTATACATATTGTGTGATCTGTTTCGAACTCCATCATTGTTCACCATTTGTTACCTAAGTTTTTTAATAATTCGATACTCCTAACATAAGTAATGAGTGAAACACTGCTCGTGTGCCCTAGTGTTCTTCCTTTTGCTTCAGTACGTCTTTTGTGTGCAAGCAAAACACACTCTAATAATTATCCATCGAAGGCAATTGAATGTCTGATTTCTTCAATCAGTTTCCTGACACACTTCTATTGTCATGTGACAATTCCTGGTACAGAAGTCAATATATTTTCAGAGGTACCTAAGTTGATAGTGAAGAATTAGATGTAGAAGAGTAAAAACCCGAATAATGGATGATTTTGTATGTAATTGTTTGTATCAGTTTGCTGACATGTATTTCCATGATGTTGTGGCACAGTTGAGGGAAGCTGTGGCGACATTGGGGGATCGTTTTCCCATGAGTATCACTTCGAGTCTGACGCTGGGCAGGACATTCTGCTGCGCTGCAGCAATTGCGGCCACTGCGCTTCTCAAGACTTCCTTCTCGAGACGCGTGGCGGAATTGTTGGTCAACAAGAGGCTCATATTGAATGTCCAAAGTGCTCATCCTCTCATATGGACTCCATCAAAGGGATTGAGGTGAGTTGTCTGTCGTTGAAGACTTTAGGTACAGAATTTTAGCAACTAAACGATGGGAAAGCTACCTAATTAATTAATCACGGCAAACCATTGGAACGTTTCTTCGTGGATTCGAAAAATGTATAAGATCTTTTTACATTTTAGATTTCCTAAAAAAATTTGAGAGTAATAGAATAACCATGATGACCCACAAAACGAATTGAACACTCGTTTGGTATGGTGGCAGGTTGGCCACACCTTTCTGCTCGGTGACAAATACTCAGCCCCACTGAAAGCCACGTTCCAATACAAGCAAGGAGTTCGACGTCCCTTAATTATGGGTTGTTATGGCCTGGGGCTTTCCCGTCTCGTACAAGCAACTGTGACACGCTGCAGCAGCCAAAACTCCATTGTGTGGCCTTGGGTGTTGGCCCCTTACAAACTATGCATTATCGGGCCAAAGGTTAGTCTGTACGGGCTTCACAAAGATAATTGATTTTAAACTCTTATAGTCAGATTTATATCAATTCAAATTTCATGACAATGTTAACCTACGACTCGTACATTTATAGACAGTCTGAGTCATCAAGTGCAGCTGCTGGTAGCATCTTTCTTTAATCGTACGCTTGGTATAAACTACTTATATTTTCGCAGCGCGGCAGCAAGGAAAGTGCCGCTTCGGTGTGGGTGGAAAGTCTGGCGGTTTGTTTACAGCAGCAGGTGCCAGCTCTGCGCGGGGACGTCATCATTGATGACCGCGACGCCTTCACCATCGGCAACAGAGTGTACGCGGCGAAGCGAGCTGGCTACCCTCTCGTAGTGGTAGTTGGCAAGCACGCTCTCAGAGATATGCCGCTTTTTGAATTGATTGATAACACGGCAGCATTTCGAAGCCTGCAGGAGACCTCTAAAACGCCTTTATTTGGCGAAGGACTGTCGTCAAAAAGCGGGAATTTATTGACCCAGTTAGAGCTTCTCAATTATCTCGGCGTGTTATGTAATGAACTTGATCAAATTAGAAGCTAATTGTTTAGCGTATTAATTCTGTACTCTATCTTTTTTTTTTGAATAAAAATCTGGTGCACAAAAGTAAGTTGGAACAGTGTTTAACATTATAAGCGATTTAGATGCGACTCAATGTGACTGTTCCATGATGTGACTAGTCATTGGCCCAATACGGAGCCCAATTCGACGAGCCCAATACGGAGCCTCGCCTGCTACCCAACGTATGCTGTGGGACGATGGTGGTCACGGCGACACACTGTGTAATTTCGCGAAGTTTATTATTTCCAGGACATGCCCACTCTTCTTGCTGCTCATCAAGCAGTTTCCTGCAAAAAATAAGGTGACCTCGGTCTCGATGGGGAACAATCGTAACAGAGATATATACTGCTTCAGCTCCTGCGCCGCTCTAACTTTCATCGGCATCTTCGTTGCAAACAATTAGAGATTTCATGTCAGTTAAGTGATTTTTAGTGCCGTGCATAGTGCCAGGGTAATCTAGAGAGAGGGGAAGAAGCCACAAGACTGTCTTGCTTGAGGTAACTTTTGTACTGGAAGATCCAAGTGGCGCAGGTTTTGTGTACCAGGAAATAAGCGCGAAGCACCTTGCTGCCCTCAGACAGGAGTAATATGGTCCCAGATCTTGGAGGTCTCGTCTTGCACCAAATGAGAGTTCACAAGTTTTAGAATCCACGCAAATTTGTAAAAAAATGCAGATCGGGCGTGGTTTCCGTTATGTGAAGAAAGCGTAGGAAGGATCTAATGAACAGCCTTTAGTGGACCATTTTCATGTAACATTTTATTTAATAATAAGCAGGAATATGCTAGGTTAGCGGAACCGTTAAGTGATAGAGTTAACGAGTACAAAACAATAAATATAAAAAAATTAAACACTAACACTGATTAAATCATCTGAACGTAGCGGTAACAGGACATAAATTGGGAAGGGTTCGTACCACCGTAAATCGCACAGCTAGAAAACAAGTCAACATCGCGCACAATAAATAATATCGCTGATTATTTCTCATGTAGGTGAAGGATAAATTTCATTGTTTTATCGGTTCATTATAATAATAATTGCAAATTATAATCGCTCCTTTAATACTATATCTGAGGATGATTTTCATGCTGGAAGCGTCTCAGGGCAAGGTTACATCGTGGGCGCCTCCTCCTGTCACGGCAGTGAGCACGTGTACCTGCGTTCCTTTACTGAAGTTGTACACCTGCAAACAGAATAATCGGCGATCTCTTTACTGCTCATATTTCAATATTCCATTCACGCAATATGATCGAAATAAAAATAGCCGTTTTGTTAAAATTTAACACATTATTTCGATGCCTCATTAAAACTTTAATGCGATAAGTTCCTTAAATAATAACTACTTTTTTAAATTGACTTGCCTGTCCGGGAGCAAAAGGCTCTAGTTTAGGAATAGAAGAGGCCGTGCCGACGACGGAGTCAGGGCGCTTGACGTCAGCAGGGATGTATTTGGATAGCCGCACTGAAGGCAGAGGAAGGAAGCCTCCCAACAGCGGCATCACGTCCAGCGTTACGTTCTGGCGTCGACTAGCGCACTCCACAGACAACACGCCTAGACAAACCAACAACCACGTTACATGCAGTTAATACAATATTTCAGTGTTCATAATTATTTGAAAACTTCAATATAATTACAGAGCACATGAGGAAAATTATGAAGACCACACATTAGAGGCATTGCGTCAAATAAAATATCATACTTCAACATTCCCATGAAGATCGTAATTTTGTAGCTAAATTGATCTTGTGCAAACGAAGGTTGGCAATGGAGGAATTTCTAATACAAACTTTTTTCTGAAGATCGTATTGGAAGAGTGTTAAAAATCATATCAACCGTGAATATATGTAAATTCAGCAATATACAGATTTCAAGAGGCACCAGAACATGTTGCTTTCATTATTGAAGGTTTAAATTAATATCCTGAATTTAGAAACAGTATGCGGGATGTGTGGTTGACCAATTTATAATCTTCATTATCGGCTGTATAGCTTACCATTCTCATGTCAAGATAGCAAACTTGCAACAAAACTTGACCCACTCACCAGACGTACGCCCGCAGACCGCCCACATGGTCTGGTCAGCGAGCACCTCGTACATTATGGAGTCGTAGGACACGCTGTCCCCGGCACCGCTAATCTTACGGTCTTGTCTGCCTGTCACTCCGTCCTCACCCGTGACAACTTCTGAAAAATGACGCATCATAACGTGGAGTTAAAGTCAATCAAATATCGCTTACAAATGTATAGGTACACACTTTTGAGCAAACTGTAACTAGGTAGCACATGACGCAAAAGCGGCATAATATTTCTTTAGGATTATTCTCCTGATATACATCAGAAAAGCTAAAAATTAACACGAAGAAAAGTAAATATCGTTAACAATACAAGAATTGACATGAAATATATGTATTCTTAGATCTAGGAAATGGCTTCATCGTGAAAACTGGCTTTAAAAAAATTCGGAATCTTGTTATTCCTTTGTATCTTGTTATCCTCATGTTATCTCTTTTTTGGACGCGCGTGGAATCCACCCCCATGGCTCGGAGGGTGTGTTTCGACAGTCAAATATCTCACCCAACGTGAGTAGAGTCACCATTTGAACCATGAGTAAATAGGAGCGTTTGATTGATGTTCGAATAACGAGCGGGGTGAGGTAACTGTTGGATATTGAGTTATTCAAGGAGACGTTTGCGATGAGCAGGGACAGGCTTACCCGTTGGAAGTGCGTCGTTTGAAGGGAAAGGAGTGGCTTCGATAGTGATGAGCAAGTGGCACATGGACCCAGCACGACAAAACTCCGACCCCTTGCTTGGCTCCACTCGTGATTTGATCGTAAATACAGTCTGAAAACATAGGAAACAAATCTGATTATACCAGGCTAAATTGACAATCAACTGTACTTAGTTGGTACTCAATAGTGAATTTTAGATGAACGTATTGATCTACTAGATACTGTTATATAAATATTTTGTAACGAACTCGAATGAGGATCAGCTATTAATTTCTCAAAATTCTTACATTTACGGTCATCATGGTCTGAATTTAAAGAAAAATGATTATATCAGTGACGAGAAACAGGGCTCCAATAAATGCACAATGGACCAAGGAGAACAGCTATTCAAAATCATTATCGATAATCTATACCGGAGCTCAAATCAGCAAAAAATATAAAAAATGTACCAATTGTCAATCATGAGCGATAAAGGGTTAAATACTATTAGGTATGATACCTTATAGTCGCAGAGGTCAAAGGTGCAGCGGTAAGTCCGTGCAGCGTCAGGCTGGGCGCTAGGGGCGCTGTACTGAACTCCAAACTCAAGCTTGAGAGGCGGCGTAACCATTGTGCTGTAGTCTACCCCCAGCTCCCACATGTAACTGCACGACTGCTCGCTGCTCACCGTCTGCTCATCGTTGCATGTGGTATTGTTATACCGGCACTGAACAGTGACCAATAATGTAGTAAGTAAGAATCTTGTCTGGGTAATCAGAAACATTCTTACCAAAGGTAAGAAAACATCCGATAATTGATAATTCTATAATCCCGTCCTATCCGATAAATTGCAAAGTCGCCTGCTTGAATTTCGATGATGCGATAATTGCAGCTACCTCGAGCAGCGGCAGATTTCGCATCTGTGATTGGTAGGTTTATCTTGAAAAATCTTGAGTGATTGACTGACGGAGTTACGAACTTGCGACTATTCTTTCTATTGATCTCAGTGCCTGAGCTACGAAATGAATATAGTTGAGTGTCATGTAATAAAGCTAGCTGTCGAGAATAGTTAGATTACAGGTGGCTCTAAGAAGCTCTATAAAAAATTTAGATAAGTAGTTCCGCAACCCTGATCCTATTGTAACGACGGGCGCAGCAGCGCTTCTCACTATACACCGCGTTTGATTTTGAACCATCAGTGTTAATGTGATGAATCAGCGTGCTTTGTTGATAAATGATTGAGAAATAAGTTTTTTACCTTTGTAGGATTTTCCTAAATTTTCTCGAGTGTGGTTAAATAATGGAAATAGCACTGAGGTAGTTTATTTCGTTGCATCGGGGTCTATTTAAAGCTGGATGCATTATCCGCTATTATTATCCGTGTACGTGGTAGCTCATGTTCTTGCTTGTAGCGACGAACATTTAGGCACGCCTGGGGTAGTTGAGGCGGACGAGAGATAAGCAAACTAAGGGAGGTCAAAAAGTCAGCAGCCCGAGCAGGACTGTCCCACAGTGAGGTCCGTGAGGCAGGAGAGTGGGAGGACAATCCAGATTTTTTTCCCAGATTGTGTTACAGCTTCAGACAGTGGAATGTTATATTCAAGCAAATTTTTAGGGTTACACGAACCGTGTTACGTGAATAGCTGTTTCTTTGAATTACTGACATGTCACTTATTACTAACCATTCAAAAAACAGTAATTCGAATAATATTACTCTCACCAAAATCTGATTCGGAGTGTTGAAAGCTGTCAGTGGCAGAGGTGAGCTTGGAGAGGATGGTTGCTGGAGACGCAGGCTGGGATCCCTCAGTTCGAGACACTCGCTCACGAGGCCAGTCACCTTAACCTGGAGAACGCAAACTAGCTGAGTCACCTCCTACGTTTAACATAAATATACACAAGGATAATTACTTACTCCTCATGTTCACTAGCATTGACTACTAGTGAAGGTAAAGGCACTAAAAAATCAAGTCAATACCAGGCAATGAATACGTATTATAGGTGAAATTCCAAAAACTCGATTTAGCTTGTCAACGCAAACGTTGCAGTTTGCCTCTACAAAATTAGGTACCTGGAAGAACTTTTTTATGTTGGCGGTGTGTAACTTGGAGACGGAACAGAAAGGTGGGCTGAAGTGAACGTCAATATCTTGTCTGGGCTGCTGCAGCATTGGACTGCTAATGGACACCTGTACGCACAAACATGGACGACTGTAATGAGAATTAGGTACAACTAAGTAAATAACCGAGTAAATTTAATCTTTCTTTTTTTCGGTATAGTAAAATTTTACGACATATGATCTAAGTTATGTTAAACATGCACCAGAACTGTCAGAGAAACAAACCTACTAGCGAGGAGTTTAAAAAAGGTTTCAATAAGTTCATTTGATAGTTCGAAAGCATTATATTATCTACCTATGTTAGAACTCGAATTCCAAAGGAGGATTGGTTATACAAAAGCTGATGACTTGGAAAATACACTTGTAGAAAAATTTAAAGGTAATGCTCATCAAGAATATAAACAATAATGACAATTCTTATAATAATCACAAATTAATTCATAATCGGATCAAGGATTGAGGATTATAACATCGGTCTAGACGAGTTAAAAATGTGATTGTTGATTTAAGAACTGAAATATATCAAACAATGGGCAAGAATCAGATACGAAATGAATCGAGGTACAAAGGTTGAGCGCGCCATACGATGTGGTCGACGGCATTGGTGTCGCGCTGAGGGCCGAGCAGCGCCAGCACCGTAAGCTCGAGCGTGACGGACGACAGCATCGGCGCTGCGGGCAGCAGCACCTGCAGCTCGCGGACCATTTCGTGCTCGTCCGCACCACCGCAACCAGCGCTCTCACTAGCTACGTGACTGGACTTCGGGGTGGTGGCGGCAGAAGTAGCTGCAGGGGCAGAGATGACGTCTGTGGCTAGTGTTGAATTTGTGGTAGTAGTGGCGTCAATAGCAGAGGTGACTTCAGTGGCAGGGGCGGAAACAGCGGCAGGAGGAATGTTAGATGTAGTGACACCATCAGTAGTAGGAGCAAAGGCAGAGGGAACAGTAATGGGAGGATCAGGGGCAGAAGCAGTATTCTTGCCGCAGCGAAGGTCTGAATGGGACAGATCAGAAGTGGTGACGAGACGACGCCCGTCTTCAGTGACGTTCCACACACTTGGGCTCAAGAGCAGTCCGCGTGATGATCTCAACTCCACAGGCGTGTCCTACGGAACAAAACTTGCACATAAAAACCAGCACGTAAATCCACCAGCTGCTACCATGCAGGTTTCCATCATATGCATCAATCCAATCAAAATATGCATCAAAAAATAATTCTAAGACAAGGAAAAGTTTAAATAATAAATTTTATTGTTAATCATGCGACTTCTTGTCCACGCATACATTAATTATTCAAATCACGTGATGAATTATTCAAATCAACATTATACTTTAGACTAAAATTAAAATAGAAAGTATATAAGCAATGTCAGATGTATAAAAATCTTATAAAATCACGATAAACGAACCAATAATACTAAAATACGACCATGTTAGTGGCTCTAAACAAAGTTGTTGTTGTTAGAAATCGCTCACGATCTATGAGGCAACTCTTCGTTCGTGCCAGTCACATATTAAAGCCGGCAATCAAATTTAATCTTGGTATACAGGGAATTAAAGGCTTACATTACAAGGAGCAGATCAACATGTTATCATCAGCTACCAGAATTATTCATCTTCAAAAATCTGTAAAGTCCACGTAGCGGCCTAGGTACACGTAACAGCCGATTTTTCGTCTGTGATCAGTGGGTTTAGTTCGAAAGGCTGTCACTTCGAAAGGCTGTCTGGGTTTAGTTCGAAAGGCAGTTAAACACTCGTGAAAATGTTTTAAAATGTAAAGTACGGTCCCTGGTGCAGCATTATGGAGTTAATTTGGTACCTGGAGGATCGGAGCAGTGCCGGCGTGGACGGTGAGCAACATCTGCTGCGGCAGACCGGCCAGCAGCTCACGACTTTTACGCCCGAGTGCGAGGCGAGGTGCCATTTGCAGCACCTCCACTGCTCCTCCTGAAGCCATTTATTTCTTAAGTAAGAGTCACTCTAAACCCTCTTTTTGATTTTCACACGTTGTTGTTATTACCGTATATAGGTTGTACGTTTGATATAGCTCAACTTCTGGTAGGATAGTAGTTCCTTTTTTTATTGTTGAGGTACCAAAGAATTGTCATCGGCATGAAATCCGCGGAGCATTCATTTTGTACGAAATCCTACAAGCACGAAATCCTACTTTCTAAGTGAATGCCTACATTTTGTTATCGCGATATTTTTTTATTTTCAAGAGCATGTTTGCTTCTTACCCGTTAGATTCGCACAAAAATTATATTCTTCCCACCTGGATGACTCAAAGATTACAAGCCAGTAAAGCCATCAACAATGAAATATATAAACGAGATATGAACAATTTTTATGGCAGAACACAAAACTTTGAGAATGACCTACTACTGCGTTATATTTGTGGTATGGCACTTTCCTACCGATTTACAATAACAACACGCAATGCTGCATGGCCAATACTTGCGCTTGTGAAAGCCATGTAGCATGAGATCTAGAGATGCTGCAAGCGTACTACCTGCGCCGGTTAGGTTAGGCGGGCTATGCTGCACAAGCTCTAGGCAGCGGCTGCGCAGAACGGCACCTTTGCAGGACAGTAATCCTCTATGGGGCACCTGTAAAATACACAGAATCAAGACCAAAGCATATTTAAACGAGGCGATAATGTTCCAGAGTCAACGCTAATGTAGTGAATGGAATTTTTTTCTCAGCAATGCAACTTGAACCGGCTTACAGCACAAAAAAAATTCGGAGTCCATCACTCGCATAACAAAATTAGTGCTAAGAAAAGTTTAACTTTTCATATGACAAAATTTCGAAGTAAGTATTGATACAAATCTGACGTCAATATTGTGAGGAATCATAATTGATTTTACCTGCGCTGAGAGCGTGACAAACGAAGTCCCGGGAGTGACGGTAACGTCACGAGCACACAAGACGACGTCGCTCTTCTCCCTGGTGAGTGACGCGGTCTCTGCTGCGCACGACAGCCTGCTGTGGCTGTCGCGGCGGCTGCAAACACAAACAAAAGAACTTCAATACCAAAGAAATAGGCACCTGAGGATGAAAAACATTTCATAGTTTTTTATTTATTTATAATCAAATCCATTTCGTTTATTTTGCGTCCTGTTTGGAGCCAAATGAGTGAAAGTCACAACTAAATGCTTTCAAACTTTAAGCAATGGCAAACATTTTCAAAGCCCATTGGCGCATATTTTAAATCAGGTTTACTATCACACTCATTTAGCAGAAATTGTAATGAATTGAGAAAATGTTGCGAGGGCAAAAATTGCAGAAACGTCACAATAGATAAGTAAATACGTGAGGAACGTAATGAGGACCTGAGAGCGGCATGAGTGTTGGCGCAGTGGACGGCAGCCGAGGCGAGCGTGTTGTCCTGCTTGTAGTCTAAATGCAGGCTCATGTGCAGCCTGTCGGTAGGGGCGTCCTCAGTCTCCCCTACCACGCGGCGCTCGCTCGACTCGCTCCCTGCCGAGTTGCTTCTGCAGCACAACAAACTTGTTAGCGTGGCTGCTGCAGGGCTAATTCCGGGATAATGTCTTAATCTGTGACATTTTTGCATATTGTTTCTGGAAAGCACATGAAATCGGACATGGGTTGGGAGGCTCTACAAAATGAACTCTCTTTATCTCTATAATGCTAACTCACTCTGAGAGATACAGTGACTCTGAGAGATATAGTGCTTAAAGCTCATTGTCAATATTGTAAGACATCTGATACACGTCACCTTATCACAGTCATCACACATCACCTCATGACAGCAACGGTTGAGTGCTTATGCACAGCACCACCAACGACGGCCGACACTCGTCGCTCAACGCGGGACGGGTCGCCGCTGCGCTTGCGTCCTCCGCCGCTGCCGCTGCTGCCAACGCTTGCGGTGTCGTCCGGCATCTGGAGCTTCAATAGCACCTCAACGCTGCCAAACCTGCGGCCAGAAAATTACATATATATTTTGGGATTAAAAACTAAGCACAAAAACAAGTTTTTCCACAAAATACTATTCATATAAAGCACTGGAATAACTTATAATGAGAGAAACATGGACGAGACACTCACGCCAAAGATAAAGGTAGCGAGGAGCGCAATTTAACGTTTGCAGTCAGTGTGGCGCCGACCGTCAGAGGGGAATGTGACGTGATGCTCACCTCCTCCACCTTCACCACGTCTTGAGCTGATAGGTACACCGAGTCTCCTCCTGTAAACACGAAAAAGACGTTTTTACTCGAGAAATTCAGTCATAATACAAGATTACACATTAACTATGCAAGAAACGCAGGGTCGGCATTCAACTTCCAAAATATCATTTTAAAAACAGAACCGAGAATTCTGTTACACTCGTGTCATCACAAGGAGCAGATCAAGAAGCACTGTCCCCCCTTTCCATAGATTTAATTTGGAGAATTCTATAAATTTCCAAAGAATTATTTATTTCTGTTTGAAATATCAATTTTGAATATTATATTCAGGAGATTTCCTTTAGTCCGGTACTCTACTTTGAAGCAGGCAGTACGGGATAGCGGCTAGGCAAAGGTGTGCACTTATCAATTTAAAAAGTTGTTGATTGAGTGCCGGAGTGTGCTTAAGCTATTGTAACATTGTTAACTACAGGTGTCGGGTCGGCGAGAGCCTGCACCTGTGACGGTAAGTTTACAGCAAAGAAGTTGAAAGTAATACAATTAAATTAGGAATCCGCGTTTAAAAATTACTGCAATTATTATATCTAGAAATTAGTTAGGAAATTAAATTATATTGTATCATTTGCGATTCTAAGGAAAATAGATAGTAAAAACCTACTTTCTTTGGAATTTGGATGGAGTTTAAATGTCAGCAAACCAGTCATTAAAACCTCTGTCGCTCATGTTTTCTGTTAATTGATTATAATGATGCAACTGTTATGTCTCAACTACAATATTTACTTTTTTTGTAACCTGTTCATTATTGCTTAGATCAATGTTCGTTGGGAAAATTATAATAGAAATAAATAATGACAATTGGTATTATACAGGAAATATTTTTATATTTGATACATACTTCATTAAGAGATTGATGCATCGTGATCTCGATGTTTTTTCTGACGACTGATCTAGTTTGACAAAATTATACATATGATGAGACTGATGTTTTAAGTTAAGGTTAAAGGATCTTGACGAGATCGATGTTGAAACCTAAAATTAGTGCATCACGATGCAAGAGCAATATAAGCTGGATGAATCTTGATGCATCTCTAAGAGAGATATGATCATTGTTATGCAACTTAATGAGAGATCCACTCAAATACATTGAGTTCATTATCAGCACTTCAAAATCCTGCCTTCACTGAGCTCCGTGATGGCTCGCTGCACAGCACCGAACGCAGCAGCGCGTCGCTCGTGCGCCACTTGAGAGCAGCACGCCAGCTCGATGCCCACACGCAGCAGCCTGCAGCCATCCAATAGCTTCATATACCATGGCCAAAAATATGGTCCATTTACCTTGCCATGCACAGCAATTTAATCGTAAATTTCTGTGTTTAACACATATAGTTCGGTTTATTTGGATACAAATGTGAAAAATCACGGAAACAAGCTTCTGTATACGCAAAATGGAGAATAGAACAGATTTAGATAATTTTTATCATGTCAATGCCACTAAGGAGGGTACCGTGACTAACTTGGGCCAGTCTGCCATAGCTGTGTAGCAGATGACGAGTTTGTCTCTGGTGTCGGCAGCTAGCAGAGGCCAGCAACCATCAGTGAAGCTATGTAGCAAGTCACCCAAGAAGTTGGCTGCCTGTTGGGGCTGTCCCAGACTCAGGTAAAAGGAAGCGAGGTCGCGCCCAATCAGCCGGGCGCAACGCACGTGTCCGATATGTTTGCAGGTGCTGATTGCAACTTCTGAGAGCTCCTGAAAACATACAAATTCACAGTTGTATCAGATTGAAAATTACGATTTGTGTGACCAATTCACATCTTTCAAATAATTAGAAATAACCCGATGCTCTATTCAAAAGTCATAGACACTAGTATTGAAATGTTGGTAGTGTTGAACACTAGTATTGAAATGTTGTTGAACTACGTTACGTTTCAGATAACGGTGTATTTAAAAAATACAACTAATTAAATGAAAAAAAAAAACAAATATTTAAGCAAAAGAGTTCACAAATTGTACAAAATCGGTACGTAAATAAATTTTAAGCAATGGCAACAATAGAAGAGAACGGCCCCAAGAGGATGAACTATCTGGCCTAAAACGTTGACTCGAGATACAGAGATTTCGAATTGCCAGGACTCACCAAATTACTGAATTAGAATCAATATTCTAGTGATAAATTACTAATGACAACAGGATAAGACGGAATGCGGAAGATTTCTCATTAAAATTGCAACTGAATATTCACCGAAACGACAGTGTTTACTTGGTCAATGACATGTATTCTAACAATAATACAACAAAGTGCCTAGTGTTGGATGGCCTTTCCTGAATACATCATACAAGAACACAGATAATATAGACTAACTAGATAGTGCTTCCTAAACGCTTCCTTGGAAGACAACGCTTCTTTAAGTCTTGTCATGGGCGACATGCCATCCTGCTCGAGCATGGCCACGCTGAAGGTCGAGGCTCCATCATCCGCCCCTTCAGGTTCCTTGACGGCGCTGGGGGCGGCACCGTCCACCTGGTGAGGGCGTCGCCCTACGTTGTCCGCGTGAGGGTCGTCGCCCATGCCACATACAAGGGCGACGACAGCATGAAGCTTCTCACTGCCTTCTACGTCAGGATGCAGTCCACACAGTTTGCCCAGTTCCTGTAGCTGCTCATCAATTGACTTTCATAATTCTCGTTCACTACCATAGGTAAATTTTGTAATAATAAAGTTCGTTCTTTTAATTATTTTTATCAAGTTTTTCCATTTTTTGCTAATTTATTCCCGCATCGTGTGCACCACGTCTGGCACAGAAATATAATTTACTAATACTTGTATATAGCTTAGCAAAGTTACCGATGTTCATACCAGTGATCTGGCCTTAGTGCCTCCCTCAACCGGTGCATACTCCGTACATCTCAGACATGATCCGCATGTCACCCAGTGACGGTGACGACTCTCTCATTTATGACATTACGATCGATGGCCACATGAACCCTAACCTGAGGCAAATGTTTCCCTATTCCGGCAAGTACCTCATCTCTGGCAAATTAAATGTGCTCCCGGTTACGAAACCTACAATACCTATCTCTGATAAGAGACGAATATTCCCTTGTTTCTCCCACCTTTTCTCTAGCATAGGCCCACAGGGGAGCAATGTGGCGAGTGTGGGGGCTGGTGGTTCCACTGCTGCTGCTGCAGCGAGCCAGCGAATGTATGACTTCGAGGCAAGAGAGGAACCCCCAGCACGCGACGCCGCCCGGGGCAATGCCAACCTGAAGAATCTGCAGCTCATTGGCCGTGTTCTGCAGGAAACTCAGAGCCCGACTTGCAACCTGGAAGGAAGTCTCTTAATTAGCAAGATCTGTTCATTGCTGTCTACCACTTTCTTTGTATTGATTCCACGCCTACAGGCGTCACAGCCTCATAGTTTATTGCCCTCGATATTCATAAAGTGGTTGCTGTATGGAATGCAGCCACTCATCTGTTTCTTTTACCGTTCCAGGGACTTTTTGCCTTATCAAAGTCTTATCTTAGTCACAGAGAATACAAAAATCGGTATCCTCGTTGCAAAATAAAATTAGACCATAATATACCAAAAATTTTCAGATGTATAAGGATTCAGGCAGATTCGTGGAGTGCAAATCAGTGCATTGGGACTTTAGGCATCCTAATGACTTAATCAATTAGTCCCCATTCAGCTCGTATACGCAGCTTATCACAGATGAGCAACTAAATAAATGATTATCCAAGGAAAATAAAACTAAAAGTTTTTCGAAAAGCTTAACACATTGTAAAGTTTTTTTTTTCAAACACACTTCCCATAGTTGAATTCAAAAATAAAATTTTCAACTCTTCCTTTTAATTATGAAGAAATATCCTCGTTGATACTCCATTAATCGCTCTGATATTAAATTATTACATGGATTTTATTAAAAAAAATATGCTAAAAACCTTCTCAGGAACACTTGCAACGTAATATTTCTGGAACCAGCACAGATGAAAATTTGGTTCAGCAGCAATAAAAATATTTACGATATACACAAGTGATGCACCCAAGGCAATCAGATCACGTAAAGTGCAATGAAATACCAGTTTAACTGCAATAATACCAAACGAGCTCATGTTTGCCAGTATGAGTGAGCATTCTCACCTCCCATGGTTTATTGAGTCTGAGGAGCACAGCGGCTTGCTGCTGGAAGAGGTAGTTTCTAAGCTGCAGCAGAGAAGTTTCTCCGCTATGGATTTTCTCCTGGAGTCTTTTGTTGAGCTCAGTGCTTATAAAGAGGCCTTCCCATCGCTCGCACGACTCCGTGAATTTTGTTAGCCACAGTGGCGTATCTAGGTAAAATTCGCATGTTTAGCAATAGAAAAATTTGTGCCAAATGTGGTTGATGAGACTAATGGACTGCTAAATAACATACAGATACAACGTGATGGAGCAAAAAAGTTTTTTTTTACAATTGATAACTACAAATATAAAGTAATTTTCATGCTTTCAGCAAACATTTTTTTTAGAAAAAAAATAAGCAACATAGGAAGCAAAATTTCAAGGTTGGAGAAACATTTGAAATTTTTTTTATCTGATATAACGCACCTCCTGCCGCAGAGTTGAGAACAAACTGCGTAAGAAGAGCATCCAGTTCGTCATACTGCACGAGGGCTTCATCCATTACCCCCAGTAGCAGCATCACCTCGGCGAGCTCTTCTTGGATGCTAAAATACTCACAAAAACTCCATGTTTTTTCTGTGCGTCGCTCTCGCTCAGCCCGCATACTCTCTTCAAACCTTATATGAGGATGATATGAACAAAATTAATCATTAATCAGACAAAATTGATAAATTATTGGGTAATATATTGAAATTTTAATTAGTTAATTTCAATAGGAATGTCCTTACAGCTGGTGAGAGAAACTAGGACAAATATAATAAAACGCAGTAGAACGGATTCATTAGCAACTGTAAAAAGATTTGATACTGAAATAAATAATTAGACATGATTTCTCCATACAAACTTACTATTATTAAGATTGAAAATATGCCTATCAAAATTTGAGGTACCGGTAGTATTAATGTAGATTCAAAATGATTCATAAATTGACTTTCCCACAGAATTATTATTATTTTTATTACTCAACTTGAATGCTAAACTTGTCAACTTGTCATGCAACTTGAATACAATGCATTGCTGTGCTTCATGAGGACCAAAAATGAAATGAAGTTAATTTCTATATTTATTTATAACGTTATAGAAAAAACTGCACGTGTACTTACTTGTTGAGAGCGCGGTTATAGGCCACCATGACCAGGCTGCGCATTTTGGCCAGCAGGGATTGCCAGGACTCCATGGACCGCGAGTCAGTCTTGACAGGTTCATACAGCGACACGCACCTGCCAGAGGCGAAATTTTTCATCTTTAAAAAAAGTTTTTCCAACAACAAATTGTAAAACTTTTTTTAGTCTTTTCTCATTCATGTCCCACTCTTTTAGAGTACACTATGGATACAAAATAGAATACAACTCATACCATGTAACTTTTCTTTATGATGCCATTTACAAAGTAGAATAATATTGTTTGGGTTTAATTGCGAATAAATTTATTACCTCAATGAAATAGCTATTGCAAATCTTAGCGATTATCTGGTGCAGAAACAAAAAATAATAATCAAATCTTGCATGATATGAAACTACTACAGCAATTTAGTAACCAAAGATGCTTAGCCTAAAGTAACCTGCACAACAAATTACACAATGAATGCAATAATTTTTCATGACAGCTTGTGTTAGTTATGAAGTAGTACTGTTAAGAGAGGTCACTTGGTCAGCTCCAACCTTAGCAACAATATTGGTAAAGTACAGCCCAAATAATTGAATAGAATGTTAATATTAGGCAAAAACATTAATTCTAAATAAGAAAAAAGGACATTAGCCTGAGCCATCAAGAATATTTTTTTCCTAACCTCTCCGCCTGTTTGCCACCAAAGTCAGTTTTCATTTTATCGAGCACGGTAGTTCGCGGCAAGAGTTTGTTGGGTTTTCGCGCATCTGGCGCTCCAACCACAACAACCATCCAGTCATTAATGCCACGCTCGCGTAGCTCGCCAACCCATTTCTGGACCTTCTCTCGTAAGCTAGTCTTGTATGTCTCGATGTCCTGCCAAATCAAAAAGATACAAAATTTTTTAAGAAGTAGCAAAAAGTTTAGGGAATAACTTGTGAACCATTTAAAATTTGCACGTACAATGTATTCAATTGTTTTGATGATTCCTTAACGAGATTTTATTGTGAAGTTCTTTTTACATATCACATAATATTTTTGAAATTGTGATTCATACCACAACATTGGAAATAAATGGCAATATATAAGATATAAATAGAATTTAAAGTTTCAAATCGAAAACTTCTCCATCATAAATACAGAAGTTGTTTACTAGGGCCTATGGACACAGAAATGAAATTAGTTTGGATGTTTCTTGAATTCAGTTGCATTCAACACAGTTGAATGCAACTGAATTAACTTGAAATTAACATATGCAACTGAATTCAGTTGCATTCAGTTGCATCATTATTTCAGAATAACTTTGAAGTGTTTAGGATTTAAATTTGGATATGCTTTTCAAGTAGTTGATGAAATTCCTTCAAGAAGCACGCAGACTTCAAACAATCATAGCACTAAAATGACAAACTCTAAACGTAGTCAAAGTGAAACCAAGACTATTCATGATTAATAGGTACTAATTAATGCAAAGTAAAGAAACCATATAAATAGGTAATTAGGTATAGAATTAAATGTATAACACTCACATGAAATTCCTAATTAAACACTTCATTATGTAAGCAACAAACCATTTTGATGGTTTTTATTGAAATAACTGAACTACATTTCAACGACACTGTAGTTAAAATGGTGAATAAACGGTGAAGTTTCATTCTCTGTTTTAAAAAAATTAAGATTCAATATTCAGGATTTATGCATTTTAACAAGGAAATTAAGGAATTACAGTGCAATCAGTCCAGTAGGTGTATAGGACGGGTAGCTGCAGCACACTGCAGCCAGGCTCCTTCACCAGGCACTCTTCAGAGTAGGGCACAAAGTCCACTTCAATGTGAACAAACCTGGAAATTAGGACATAGATATAAAATGGGATACGTATTAACATATCTAAGAAAAATACACTCTTATAAATATTGATACTTTGTTACATTAAAGCATATTGAGTTCAGCTGAAGAATTTTTTTCATACAGTTTGCATTGTGTTTTTGAATAAAATAACATGTGTTTAAAAATTACTTTTTAAAGACAACACTTCTGAAGAATACAGTGTCTCCTATGTTACACATCCACAATGAATTTCTTATTTTATTTCCATATATTACCGGTAATAAAAATTAATTTTCAATTTTTTTAATATCAATATATGAAAAAAATGTAAATTATTTATTCTGTCAATTGATTCATGCCTCGTCTTCAACTTTGCAATAGTGTGCAAAATTTCAGATTGATTGGACAGGTAAAAGTGTGTTGGATACCGATTACCGGTATAAGATTTGTAGAAAAAAAAAACTATTTTTTCAATTTTTCAAATCACAAAAAAAATTAATTTTAAAATTATATATTCTGTCAATTGATTCATGCATTGTCTCCAACTTTATGCAAGTTTGCAAAATTTCAGATTGATAGGATAAGTAGAAGTGTGATAAATTTTGATTATAAATAAGATTTGTAGCAGACAGACAGACAGACAAACAAACAAGAGTGAAGTTAAAGAGAAGTGTTGTAATAATATTAAACTAGCCTACAACCTCATGCCCAACTAAATCAGATTTAGATCAATATTAGGTGGTAGGTGCAGATGTTAAAATGGTCAACCCATGCTCTCAATTGATCAAACTCTGATATTCTGATAATAGGTAGGTCAATCAAAGAAGCTAGTAATATAAAAATTTGTTTAATCAGGTCTTTAATGACTGAAGTCATTCGCAAATGTATCAAAGTAGCTAACAATCAGTATGAAAAATTCATCAACTGCAGTAAATAACAAAGTATTTTTGTAGGGTTATCAGACATTTTTTCTAACATTTATATGCATTCATGACAGTTTAATATTGCAATTTGAAAATAGAGAAATTAGTGCATTGGTATTTTGCTTTCTCTGAAACAAGAAATGATTTAAACAGAAATCTACATTTAATATTATTTTACAGATAAAATTTACAGCAATCACTAGATTATGCATTTCTAGTCCATCCCCAAGAAAATAATTTTATTAGTCAATAGAATTTTTATTGCTATTTAACAATTTCTCAAAGTCTTCCCTATGTGATCAACTAACTCTTGCTTCCTGCTTTAAAATAATATCTTTTCATCATCTGTGAAATTGTGACTGTGATGTACATGTTCAAACAATCCTATAGAAATTTAGCAAATGCTAAACTCATACTATTTAGATAAGATATCCCACTTTGCTGACTGGCCCACTGCTGACTCAGCCTGACTACCTAGAGTCTGAATGACTAATGATAATGACATGATCCAGGATTGGAATTTTCTTACTTGTTTCTGAAATTTTGCAGCTTAAATGTGACAAATTTTTAATACAGTTAGAATCTAGCAGCCCAATTGTGAACTTTTGTTAACAATTAGATAGGCAGTAATTCAGCTGGCAGAAATCTTGCGGTTCCGGAGATGGCAGGACAGCTCTAGTCAGAGTCTTCTAGTAGCTCTAAAAGGAGATGTTTTACATGCTTGATGACATCTAATTGTACTAGATTTTTGAGATAATACTGCAAGAAAATTTCTATACCACACACAATAATACAATTTTAACACAATAACAGTACTTTGAACTCCTGCCAAATGAACGTCGCCATTCCACAGATTCTTCTGGAAGAGCAGCAACCAAACTGCCTTGGAGGCCACAAAAAAGGCTGCAATCTCCAGCATCTGAAATAAAATATCAAGCATAACCATAATGAAGGAAATATAATTATAATGATTTGTGCAATTATACCATTAACCATGATAATATGGCCTAGACTGCTAGACCTACATTGATATATAGACATCTTCAGTTAAAAATGATTATTGAATGATTCCAGTATAGGCTATACACAAAAATGATTCATTTGGTCAGAAAAAAAATCTTACAAGAAACAATTGGGCGTCGACTCATTTTGAACATATGCTCTGCATTAAATTTCAAACAGGCTGGCCGACTGGCTCTGGCCCTGGCCGTGACTTCAAAGACCGTGAGTGAATACCCTCTTCCCTGATTCCTTGACTCGGACTGGTAATCAGCGGTGTGAGACTATGAGGAGAGTCTGAAGAGAGCTGTCAATTGAGTGCCGAGTCGGATCTTCTCACTATCTCAACTCAAGGGCTCACGCATCGGGGCACCTTTCAAGTCTCAACTCTTCTTCTTTATTTAAAGTTGAAGAGCTCTGGAGATCCTCTTCAAATTTCAATCATTGAATTGTTCAGGGAGACTCGACAAAGGTGAATGCTCTTTTTTTTTTTTTTTTTTAATTTGATTTGAAGACTTCGGGTATGCAGGTAGCACACCTCCCAGCCTGAGCACAACTCAGATTTTGATCACTCCACTTCACTTGTTGATTTCACCCTGTATTTCTCTTTCAGCACTTCCACCAACCAGTGTGGCAGTAAATAGTGAGGAGAAAAAGAAAAATAGTAATTAGACTTTGAGGAACTTCATAGCCTGGTCACCATATTGCAGCTGTGCAAATATTGACCCAGAAGACGGATGGCAGCAGTGCGTCTCCTCATTGGGGCATCTCCACCGCCAAGAGCTGAGGAAAGATCCCACTGAAGTGAAAGGCCTTCTATTCTTGAGCGGAAATCCCTTCGTTGGTTGGAGAATTGTGTGCAGTGTAGAATGAAATGCTCAATTGTGTCCTCCACGTTGCATACTGAACAGTTACTTGAATTGGCCAAGTTGAATCTCGCCAAATGAGCACAGAAACCAGCATGTCCCAGGCGCAGGCGAGACACAGCGCACTCAACTGAGCGTGGCAGCACTCCATAGTCAACAAAAGCTATTTCATGTCCCAAACTTCTTCGAAAGGTCCCCTTGCCTGTTTCTTGCACATCAGCAGCCCATTGGCGTGTCCATTCTTCATTCTTGTACTGTGAGAGACTTCAAGGAACAGATCCACTCCTCGAAACACAGCTGAGATCTTGCTGAGCGGTTGTTTGAGTGTGCCAAATTTGCTACTCTGTCTGCAACCTCATTTCCATGAATACCACTGTGGCCTCTGACCCAGCAAAGCACCACCCTGTCAAGTCCCTTCACCAGCATCAACTCCTGTATCTCAAAGATAATTGTGCGATACGAGTGCCCAGATGAGTTGGATAAAAGCTGCAGAGCTGACCTTGAATCTGTCAGAATCAGGACGGACTCCTCCTTCAGAGATCCATTCTCAGTGACAAGTTGCATGGCCTTGTGTATAGCAAACAGCTCTGCACCGAGAACTGTGTGCTCTCGCCGGAGCAACCAGCCAGTCGCCAGCTGGGTTGAAGGAATGAAAAGTCCAGCAGAAACAGACCCATCTTCAGACTTTGAGCCATCGGTATAAATTTGGATATGTCTAGGATAGTGTCCCAGGAGAAAATCATTGAAGCAATTCTGAATAATTTGATGTGGCATATTATTTAAGGGATGGTCTTGCAAGTTGAGTAGAATGTTCGCAGTGAGATCCACTTGAGGAGGGATCAGACCCATCAGGGGAGTTGCAGTTCGCCGAGGGAGTGAGAGGCCCAGCATGCGAAAGCAATCTTGAGCTCTGTTGACAAATGGTGTGTCACGGTGAAGTCCCTGATCCGTGAGTCCCAGCATGGTTGGCACTTGGTCACCTTCAGGCATGTACAAATACCTTATAACCCATTTAATGAACAGATATAAGAACCGCAGATTCAAAGGTGCAATGAAGCTCTCAACTTGCAGAGACACTATTGGTGTTGTACGGCGGGCTCCTTGGATGTATCTGAGGGCAGAGTTTTGAATAGTTTCAAGTTGTTTCAGCAAAGCCTTAGAAATATCCCATAAAATTGTTGAGCCGTACTCCATCTTGCTCCTTATAAAGGCCACATATATTCTGCGCAATAATCTCCTAGAGGCACCCCACTTCACTGAGCCAAGTGCACGGAGCACCTGCATTCGTTTCAAACAAGCAGTGCGTGTTATCCTGACGTGTTCCCGAAATGTAAGGCGCGGAGAGTCAAAATGAAATCCAAACACTTTTTGGCAGGCCACATACTGAATATTCCTGTTACATACTTTAAGTGTGGTAGCAGGGGCTGTCCTGAGTGATGTGTATACCTGATACGATGCCCAGTCTGACACGGTTCCGTTAATACTGACACGTTGTCGTCTACCTACTAGAAAATCTCGGATCCATTGGAGAAAAAAATGCATCCACTGGCTCCCTTTCGTCCAGCAGGCGAGTCCAATCGTTCAACGTAGATAATAAGTTAGTGGTGCAGGATCTACCGGCGATAAAACCATGTTCACAATCTGATATGAGATGGTGAGCAGTCAAGTGATCGATAATCCTATCCCTCACAACAGATTCCATTAGCTTACAAACAACACTTGTCAGACTGACAGGGCGATAGTTGCCGGGGCTGCTTTAGTCACCTTTTTTGAACAATGGTGTTACTTGAGCTTCTTTCCAGTCGGACGGCAAAGTTCCTTCGTTCAAGGTTTTTTGAAAGAATACTGTCAATGGGCAGGTCAGAACGGTTGCTAATTCTTTGAGCAATCTGGGATGGAAGCCGTCTGGTTCACATGACTTGTTGGGATTTAGAGCTACCCGGCGCTTGAGAACCTCTTCTTCGTGTATTTCAAAACGTGTTAACTTCGAGCCGACAGGGCGCTCCTCAATATCTGGAATACTGTTCAAGTCCTCATCTGTGAACACACTGCTGAAGAACTGATTATTAAGAACGTTAGCCTTGCCCTCATCAGAGGAAATCTTACGTTGGTCTACTTTCAAATCAGATATACCGTCCTTTGTCTTACACTCCGAACTAGCGTACAAAAAAAAAGGCTTTCGGATTCTTTTTGGAATTTTTAGCAATATTTTTTTTCGAAGTTTTTCACTGCAGTGCGACAAACTTTTTTTAGCTTGATTTCGAGCTCTGGCATACAGTATAATCAGACTCGCTGCGAACTCGAACTCGCTGCAGACTCGAACTAAATTTTGAATATACAGGTATAAACCTGACCTCCCAACTGTGATATTTAGCTCGTGACAATTTTTAAATTTTGCCTTAGTTTGCGGTTATAAATGCTATACGTATATGTCTCTTTGTCAATGCAAATTCAGAAATTGGCTTTAGAAATGCAGGTCGTTTTTCCGCACATCCGGATAACTCGCAAACGAAGGTAGGTACCTGTAAAATCGAAAAAATTGTCACGTGCTAAACATCACCGTTGGAAGGTTGGGAATGTATATTCAAAGTTTCGTTCAAATCTGTTCAGAGCTTAAAAGAAACTTCTTGGTCACTGCAAATTTCGACACGAATTGCAGTATAATTCACGAATGAAGGTGGAATGGAAAAATTTTCATGGCTAAACATCACTTATAGGTCCTGATGAATACGTGTACCAAGTTTCATCGAGCTGCGAATTAGTTTGAGAGATATTTGTTGATCACTGAATTTGGAGATTCGCTACGAGTCTCGCCGTAAATTTATCCTAGATCTCTTCAGCGACCACTCCAAACGCTGAGCACTAAAAGAACAGGAGTAAATGCAGCGCATTCTACTCGTCCCCAGCGTGAACCTAGACAACAAAAGACGGAAATATAGCACAGCTACAACATGACGATATTACGGATACCTCACCGTAATAAACGGATGTCTCAGTTCTTTTAACATTATCGTCCATATAAATGAGGCCGATGCTGTAGTAACAACTGACGGTGATGCCGTGGAAGAACTGCGACAGGAACAATATGATGGCGGGGCCCATGTACGCCTGGCCGTTGTCGTCGTCATCAGTAGCTAGCAAAAGGGGTGTATCGTCACACTTTCCATAAACAGCTTAAATCATAGGTTACCCCAAATCTTACCCAAAAGAACCCAGTGAGTGATGCACGAATAATATCATCCACTCGTTTCTCGCTAGAAGCAAGCTCTTCCCTCATGATTCCTCTCAAGTCTGCAAAGGTGCTCACACCTCCCTGCCCCCCCGCTGCAACAACCGTGGAACCAGAATGTGCCCGCCGACTCACAAGAGGCTGAGACTGCTTGGTAAGAACACCTGAGCAGCTGCCCTGAGATTGATGAACATCAACTGGCACCGTCACAGTGGCACGAGCCACTGGTGCAGGACAAGGAGGGCTTGAGTCTGCCACAATAGAAGCATAGGAAGTATGTGAGCTTGGCACAACCAGACCAGGGGCCTGTCTCCGTGCTGTCGGTGCTGACACCTCAACTTCCTTTACAGCCTGAGCATAAGAGTAACCAGTGGCACGCAGCTTTTCAACTGCGATGGCTTTCACAATGAAAGGACACTCTATAGAATTTGCAGCATGGGCTCCTCTGCAGTTGGCACAGTGTTTCTCAGCTGATGTACAAACTGTGTGGCAAGCACCACAGGTGGGCCAAAACCAGACCCCGTAAGGCAACTAAGATCATCCATGTGGAACAGACAAAACAGAAGTTAGAAAACAAACAAACAAACAAAAAAATAATAATAATAATGAAAAAAAAAATAGCAAGACAAAAACTAAATAAAGTAGAAGAGCAAGAAAAGAAAAAATAAATAAACAAAATAAAAATAAAATAAATAAAAAATAAAAATAACAAGGCGGACCGGCAAACCTCTGAGGGAGAAAGCCAGTCGGGTTAAAGTTAATGAGTAAACAAATCAAATAATTAAGGTTTTGAATACTTAAACTTATAAGAAACTTTGAGTCACAAATTTACCGGTTACTTTAGACGTTTAGAGATCGCAATTCACACACGTGCTACCACGGCAAACGCAACTGACTTTCTCCTATCGAGTATCGTAGTGTGCAACATATGGCGAATAATTGATCCATCAAATTGGGCGGACAATAAGATTATTCCATGATTTTAGTAGCTTGAGAACCATTTTTTTAGCTGTTTCAGCAAGTGGTAAGGACGTAGTGGTACGTAATGCAGGTTGCTGGTTGCCTAAAATTGGCCAAATGCGAGAACAAAAAAAGGCCGATAACTCAATATATACTAGTTAATTTGTAGGTTCCGCTATAAAAATTCCATTTATTTTCTTCTTGCAGTATTCAAAATTTAATTAGGAAGTACCCCTATCATAAATTTTAGCCGGCCAACGCAATTGAGAAAAACTAAATCACAGAATTTGTCCGAAAGAAATTACAGTCTGGCAACCCTGTTTAAAAACGGTACAAAAAATGAAATAATAGTACAAGATGAAGCAATCGTAGTCAACGTGTTAAAATCGTACCAAATTCACAGCTTGATGCGATTTCGGTCGCGTAACGTAATGCTTAAATTTTATTTTGCTTAACCGCCCGGCCACCATACCGATTCTGACCAGAAACTGGCGCACAAGCTGGGATAGAACTGGATCTGTGCTCCAATCCCGGTACTTTGAATTGTAAACACTGGGCCACCCTGCCCTGTAAATTATATTATTAAAATAAATCATTGCTGCAATGATTCAAAACTTTCCATATAATGCTATCTCTAGGCACTCACTTTATAGAGTTTAGAGAAGTTTTACCCCTTTTTTTACAACACTTCTCTTTAACTTCACTTCTTGTTCGTCTGTCTGTCTGCTACATAGTGATCTCGACGCTGAATTGTAGGCCGTGGCCTGCCGCCGATTCTTTTCCTTTTCGTGCCTTGTTCACAGAAGATCTAAAATCGTGTCATTTGACCGCATTTTTTCATGACTGCCGAAAGTTTGAAATAGCTACTCGACTTCCACCGGGTTCGATA